CAAACATCAGTCAGTGAGAAGTTTTCAATTTTAGCTGAAAAAAAGTTAGAATTGGTAGATTTGCAAATTTCTTTTTTAAAAGAGGAACATGAAGAAACAATGATTTTTTTGAAAAGGAAACATGAACTTGAACTTGCATCGTTAGAACTAGAAATTGCTAGTAAAAAACATAAGCTGTGAATAGAATATTGTCTATTTGTCTTGGCTATTTTACCTACTCTGTTTTATTATTACCATTATATATTTATTAAATTTATTTTTTTTGTAAACTTTGTTAAAATTAATACTAATCAAGAGTTGTTATAAGTTGCATATTTATTTTATCTAAGTCATTCTTAAATTAATTATAATCAAAAGAATTGTTATAAGTTACATTTTTATTTTATTTTAGTTAGATTTTTATTTTATTTTAGTCATTGTTATTAACTACCTATGTATTATATTGCTAATTTCAACAAAAAATAAAAGGCTGATCATTAATAAAAAAGGTTTTTTTTAAGTTTTTTAAAAAACTACAGCGATTATCCTCTTATAAATAATAATAAACCATTTTAGATTAATTATAGACTTATTTTATTACAAAATTATTAATAATTTATACATATTACATAGTATGGAGTTATCACTGTATTTATAATTTACAATAGAGTTAATTTAAAAATGGAAAATATTCTTCTGTTAATTGTTTCCTTGCATTTCCTACTTCTGGTTCATGGTCTTCTCTTAAACTAAATTCTTCATTTAGCGGTAAATCCATATTAAATAGTTCAGGTGGCTCTAAATCATTATTATCACAAGCCAAGTTGTGTAAGACACAACAAGCAACTATCACAGCTTGGGTGGTTTCTAGTTTTAAGCGTGATCCAAAAGACAGCACAGGAAATCTTCGCTTTAGCACTCCATATGATCTTTCCACTGGATTCCTAGTCCTAATAATGGATTCATTATACAACTCTTCAATGTCATTACTAGGATTCAAGTAGGGGGTGACAACATATTGTGTGTTTGCATATCCACTGTCAGCCACAATTAAACTGTTTTTCCAATAACCACTGATCAACTTATTATAAATACGCGATTTCTTGAAAATAGTTTGATCGTGACAGGACCCTGGCCAACGCGCAACTACATCCATTATCTTTAAACCAGGGCATGCAATTGTTTGAACATTTAAGGAAAAGTATCCTTTACGGTTTCTAAAATATTCTGCATCAGGACCACCTATTGTTTAAAATCATATTATAATTTTGCTGTTACATATTATTTTAACAGACTTACCAGGGCTCTGAATTTTAATATGAGTGCAATCAATTGCACCGATAGTTCTCGGGAATCTTGTAATTTGATAGAAACGGAGTTGTAAATCTCTTATTTCACTTTCGGTCTCTGGCATACGTATGAATATTGGTCGAAGTTTTGCTATGGCCACACTAAAGTCGCATACTATCAAACAAGCTGTGGTCTTACTAACGCCAATAAAATCACCAGCCGTTATTAGGAAATTTCCAGTAGCATAAAACTTCAGAGTCAACAGTAATTTATTTATTGGTGTAACAGCATTATTCCTTGTATATTAAAATATGTAAAAAATAATTGTTAATAAATTTAGTTCGATAAAGTTAATAAATAATTATTTATTAGCTCACCTAGTAGTTTGTGAAGCTATTTCGTCTTCAATATATTCTAATAAATTACGAACAACATTTTTCCCAAGTCTGAATCTCACCCTAAAGTCATGGTCATCCCACGCCAGCATATGATTTATTCTTTCATGTACAGTGTATAGACGACGTTGATAATTCAAATATTGAATTATTTCAAAATCATCATCCTCTTCAAATAAATCCATTTAAATAAAATCGAATGTAGACGAAAATTGTGAAATTGACAACAACACAACGTATTTCATATTTAAATTTTAAAGTAATATGATAAATTATGATAACACACCATATTTATGTTATCAGTTGTTAGTTATCCGTTGGATAAGATTTATTTGATACAAAAAGTAACGGATAACTTATCCGCAACAATATCCATCGGATAAGGCTTATCCCGACATTGAAAAACTGAAATTTATCAATTATTTCTTATCTGTTAGATAACTCGAGTTATCTGACAGATAAATGTGATTGAAAAACCGGGCCTAAATAACATAACAGCCAACAGGCAACAGCAGCATTAGTCGTGATTCGACGTGACTATATTATTATAGGCAGTTGTCACGTGTTCGTCTTGTCGGTTAATAAAATGTACTAAACAAATGTAGAGACTAATACACTATATAGACGTACGACGCCATCGTAGTGCCGAACATACGCGTTTTGGATTGTGGGTAACGTATTCCCGGTACACAGTATACCTACCTACACTTTATACAACTTTACTGGTTTATTAGTGGTTACAGGGAGCCAATTCTTGAAATTATCAAGTTTCACTTATCAGTTATCAATTTGTTTACGACTGATGAACTACGACAAAATTAGGGAAAACCAGATATTTGGTTAATAATTAAATATTATTATTATATTTTTATCTCTTATATTATAAAACGAGGTTAGTCCCCAGTTTTGTCCATGGGGATAGACGACTTTCGTGTCGTTTTTCCGGCCCGGTCAATCGCAACGTTCAGATTCTGCGGCGGGCAATAACCGCGTTATCACTTCTTTTCTTATCATTTTTGAAATTTTCGAAATTTACACTTTTTACACGATTTCGACCGTTTTCTAGCCTTTTTCGCTCATATTTATATTTGATTCGCGTAGCTCGCGATCTCTCGAAGCCGCCGGTGTGCGGTTTATATCCGTTCGCCGTCCATAGCCGTCGCAATGTCGATCGCAAAATACGCTCCCGGCCGGACTTTTTTGCCGATTTCTTTCGTTTTCTCCGACAGTTTCGTCTTTTCGCACGTCGTTCGTGCCCGAATCGTGTAGTTGACGTCTTTCTAAAGCCGTATATATACGCTTTTCTTACGAAATCGGTCGGTTCGCTTCGCAATCGCGTTTAGAAATTACGACCGACCGTACTCGCATAATACATGTATATACATGTATAATTTAATTTTTGCTTATTGATTTAATAATTATTAACGGAAAACGCTTTTCACGAGCTCCGTTAAATATATATATATATATGAGAGATGCGCGTATTACAATCGAATTATATGCGATTACATCGATGAACATCGAATATATCGGCTTACGTCGCTCCGTAGACGCACGGCTTAATTGTTGATGTTTTAACCGTATTTCACATCTCAAATTGTGTCCGAGTAGGTTAGGCGTTAGGTAGGAAACACGTAGTTCCTGGGTTCGAATCCGTCGTACGGTCTCTGGGCGTCGTTGCCGTCATTGCTATATGGTTTACACGGCCGCCCGAATCCGAAATTTTTTTTGCATTTTTTTTCCGTAATTTTACAAATTTCCGATCTTTTCTCTTTACTATTATTATTATTTTAACTTTACTTTGTCTTGTACGTTCAATTTTTGTTAATTAATCTACCATATTTCATTTTTTATGTATTATAATATTATATGTATTTACGTAGGTAAGCATGTTTTTTTTCGATTTTCTTACGTTATTTTACAAATTATAGTTACTGGTTTTTTTAAATTTTTTTAATATTATTTTACTGTATGAATATTTTTACTACTAAATTTTTATACCATTATATTATGTCATGTCCCTTCATCGTTGTATTTTAACTATTGTATGTTTACCTAATTAATTGTTTATTTTAAAAAAAGTATAATGTCATGTACATAATTGTAATTAAACTATTGCATTTCTTACTAATTGCATGTCTGTATATAAAAAATATATTATAATATGTATAAATGTAATTTAACTATTAAATTGTATATATAGAAAAAATATACCTAATGTTAAGTACATAATGTAACTTAACTATTGCATTTTTAACTAATTATTCTAAACACGGTTTTATGTATTCATTACGGTTTTACGAACACTGTCAATTCATTTGTTTGTTTGTACAAAATATATCTTGTTGTGTATTGTTAATATGAATAATATTATAGTCTTTTATTGTGAAAAGTATAAAACGAACTGACGTACATATAAAATTGTCTACTTGCTAATGACCGATGGACAATCCCCACCGATCGTAATATGATACTTATGATTATTATTATTAATATAAACGTTTAGTACCTATACAATGTAAATGCTGAATATGCAACATCTCTTTCCTTTAAAAAAAATATAAAGTATTTTGTATAGTGCTTAATTACTATGTTAGTATTTATTTATTTATTTATTTATTTTTTTTATATACGAGTATTTATTATATAATATGATAACTGATATAATTAATAGTTAATTATTGCAATTATTGCCTTAAGCATAATCACTTGGAGAATATCGCTGAGGCGGTTTTCTAGATCTAATTGGTCTGGGTGTTTTATTTACTATTACGGGATCGGCCGGATCGGGATTTTGATTTTCACCTACTGTTTCAGTATTTTTAGAATTTTCATTTGCTTGTCTAGCTGGTGTAGGTGACAGTGAGTTATTTATTTGGTTGTGTGGCCATATCTGATCAGTGTGTCTTATCCATTCAGAACCCTCGTCTAGTATGATTTTATGAGTGTTTTTACTAATGTTTTCTGTTATTTTTCCTTTTTGCCAATTTTCATTTTTATTTCGATAATCCTTAACTAATACCAAACCACCCTCTTTTATATTAATATCTCTTTTTCCTGAATTTTTTATTTGTATAATTTGGTTATTAAAAACTACTTCATTTGTGTTTGGGATTAATAAATCAAAAATAGTACGTGTTGAGCGGCCAAACATAAGTTTTGCTGGCGTTTCATTTGTGGTTGAGTGTACAGTATTTCTATACATCAATAAAAATTTATTCAAATGGTGTAATGATGTTGAACATTTATTAAAAAATTGCTTAACTATTTTTACTCCAGATTCGGCAAATCCATTTGAGGCTGTGTGGAAAGGTGCCCCTGTCAAGTGCCTGATACCTAGTGTCTTACAATATGACTGGAATTCATCGCCATTAAAACATTGTCAGTTAATATTGTTCTGGGAATGCCAAAACGTGCAATTAACTCAGACAGTCTTGTTATGACCGTTTGTGCTGTCATCGAATTTACTTGAAAAACTTCTAGCCACTTTGTGGTTGCATCGACAATAATTAAGAATGTTTTGTTTTTGTACGGACCTAAGAAATCGCAATGCACTCTCATCCATTGTCTTTGTGGCCATTTCCACGGAGTTAGTACTGACTTAGGAGGATTAGGTCTCGCATTTATGCATTCATTGCATTTTCGGACCATATCCTCAATTTCTTTATCTATACTAGTCCAGCAGAAATACGAACGCGCAATGCTTTTCATACTCGACATGCCAATATGACAAGAATGCAGTTCAGTTAGAATTGACTTACGGAATTTGGTTGGTATGATTACTCTATAGCCCCAAAATAAACAATCTTGTTCAACGGTAATTTCTGTTTTGCGTGTATTATACGAGTTTAATTCGGAATTTATTGAAAAGTCATTACTCCATGAACCTGTTTTTGTAGCGTGTAATACTCTAGAGGTAATTGGATCTCTTTTCGTTTCAATTTTAATTTTGTGCCAATCTAGCGGAAATGGTGACTGTTCGTGAATAAAACTGATGTGAGTGTCGTCATATTCATTAATATTATTGTTGCATTGGTTTGTTTTAATGCGTGATAAAAAATTAGCAGTATTTCCTTCTGATTTAATATATTTAATTTCAAAATCGAATGAAGAAAGAACGTATGCCCAACGTTGTAAGCGATTTGCCGCATAAATTGGTATTCCTTTTTTTTTCTCCAAATATGTGGATTAACGGTTTGTGTTCAGTAACTAATGTAAATTTTCTACCGTATAAATAATCGTAAAATTTTTGAACACCAAAAATTATGGTTAGACCTTCTTTTTCGATTTGTGGAAATTTGCATTCACTGTTTGACAATACTCGTGATGCATATACAATTGGTCTTTCTGAGTGTTCAGGATAAGTGTGCGATATGATTGCACCTAGTGCGTATGACGAAGAATCGACCGTGAGTTTTATGGGGAGTTTTTGGTCATAATGTGCTAACACAGGACTTGATATAAGCATTTTTTTTATGTTATTATATGCTTGATCACATTCTGGTAACCATAGCCATTTTTTTTCTTGTCTTAGTAATGAGTATAACGGTTTAAGAATGTCCGCTGCTCTTGGAACAAATTTAATGTAATATGTTACTAAACCTAAAAATGATTTTAACATAGTTTTATTTTCTGGAACCAGGGCAGATTGTATTGCATTTATGTGTTTAGTTAAGGTGTGCAAGCCATGCTCATCGATTTTATGACCTAAATATTCAATTGAATTTTTGAGAAAACTACATTTGTTTTGTTTAACCCTTAAACCAACTTCGGATAAAACGTTAAGTAATTTTTTTAATCTATTATTGTGTTCTTCTACCGTTTTTCCCGCAACTATTATGTCGTCTTGAAATATACCAATCCCTTCTAAGCCTGTGGTTGATATTTCCATGGCTTTTTGGAATTCCCCAGCTGAGCTTTTTATTCCGAACGGATTTCGAGTATAACTGAATAGGACTTTGTGAGTATTTATTGTAGTGTATTTGCGATCACTCTCTTTAATTACCATTTGTTGATATGCATCTTTGAGATCTATTTTAGAAAAATATTTTGAGCCACTTATATTCGCATAAAGATGTTCTATTTTTGGTAAGGGATACTCAGTTCCTTCCAATACGGGGTTGATTGTAATTTTGAAATCTCCACAAATTCTAACTGTACCGTCGGGCTTAAGAATTGGAACAATTGGAGTGGCCCATTCGCTGTAGTTCACGGGAGTTAAAATATTATTATCTATTAAACGATCAATTTCCGACTCTACCTTAGATTTTAGTGCTAAAGGAATTGACCTTGGCTTGAAAAACTTGGGTATTGCCAACTTTTTAATGTTTAGTGATATTTGGTATTTATTAAAGGTGCCGATTTCATTTTTGAATAAATGCTCGAAATTTTTTAATATATTCTCTATATTTTCGTTTACATTTATAGTGTTATAAATGGGAGAATAGTTTATTATTTTTAAATCATTTCTACCAATTAATGGCGGTCCTCCGTTTTGTATTACGTAAATGCACATTTTAAAAGACTTTTTCAAATATTTAGCATTTACTATTAATTTTCCTATTGGGCTTATATCATTTCCGACGTAATCGCGTAGTGAAATATCGTTTGGTAATAAAGTTAAATTATTAAAACTTGTATCATATAATTGTTTTGACATAACACTATGCACAGCCCCCGTATCTATTTCAAATTTTAAATCTTTATTTTCAATTAATAAATTGATAATGTACGGTTTTACTTTATTTTGAAAGTTATTTTCAATAATATTAAAAAAAGTGTCAGATAAATTGTACGCGATTGCGTCATCATGAATATTTTCATTCGTGTTATTACTAGAATTTTCGGATAAAAATGTATTGTGTGAGCGGTTGTCATACTTTGGTTTATTGTTCTTACTTTTACACATAGGAGCCAAATGACCTTTGATATTGCAAATATTAAAACTGTAGTCCTTGTATCGGCATTCTTTTTGTGTGTGGTTTTATCGACCGCATGTTCCACATTTTGATTTTTCCGTGATTGACTGCTTGGCTGATTTTGCTTGCTGACTTTGTTTTTGATATTTGAAGTCAGCTTCTTCCTTTATCCATCCGGTTTTATTGTTGATTGTAGATTCTTTTGCAGCAGAAATTTCCATAAGGTGCGAATATGTGATGCTTATTTTTGAGGCATCTTCCTCTAGTAATCGATCTTGAATTGGTCCCGCGTTCATACCAACAACAAAAATGTCACGGATTACAATTTGTAATTCCGTTGAAAAATTACATTTTGATGCTAGGTTCTTTACTCTTGCTCCCCATTCAGTTACAGTTTCTTCTGGTCTCTGCTTTGCGTTGTAGAATGCATATCTTGATGCGAAGTACGATTTCACTGGCTTGTAATAATTGTTTAACAAACCTAATAGTGTGTCGTATGTCAGAACGTCTGGTTTGGCTGGAACGCATAAACTGAATAATATTTTGTGAACTTCCTCACTAATTGAAGATAGTAGTATAGCTCTCTTTTAGACTTCGTTACTTATTCCGTTTGCAATGAAAAAATGTGTAAGTCTTGATTCAAATATTGTTATGTCGTTGCCAGATTCAAATGTTCCTGGTGAACCTATTATATTATGGAATTGAGTAATATTTTTGTTATCCTCACCCATTTTATAAATATTTTAATTTAATATGAGATGAGTTTCAAAATTTTTATCTTCGTCGCCAATTTGTTCTGTATTGTTAATATGAATAATAACACAAACGTATATTATAGTCTTTTATTGTGAAAAGTATAAAACGAACTGACGTACATATAAATGTGTCTACTTGCTAATGACCGATGGACAATTCCCACCGATCGTAATATGATACTTATGATTATTATTATTAATATAAACGTTTAGTATACAATGTAAATGCTGAATATGCAACATATCTTATCATTGTAGGTACTACTATTTCAACTATGTAACCAGGGCCGGATCTAGGGGGGGGGGACTGGGGAAGTCGAGGGATTTATCCCCGGGCGTATAATTTTCGTGGGCGTATTTTTAAGGTTTTAAATATTTTGTAAATTGAAAATTGAAAATGGACTTTAAAACAAAAGTCAAAACTAAGTTCAAAATAATATTTCACAAGAAATGTGTAATATTGTGTATGGGAATAAAATAAAATAACTTTATTTTCGAGATTAGTAATAACTAATAACATTGAAATTTTGAAAATGTAGAATGTAGAATGTAGTTATTTTAGTATATAGGTACATTCAATCCATAAGTGATAATCCATGATAAATATTTCTTTGTCGTGTTATAATCATTATATTACAATTTTCAGTACATAATTACATTTTTGTTTCATTGTATTTATTCCGTACCTAGGTACATATTATTAGTTTTCATTGTAACAATTATTAAAAATGAAAATGTATAATATTGATAGGTATGTTGTAAATTAAATATTGTTCTTTTACATAAAGCGTCCTATATTAAAAGTAAGCAATGGATACCTAATTTAGATTTGTTAATAAATAATTCATACATGTTATTATTATCAATATTATTTATTCTAAACCTGGAACTTAGAAATATTGACCACAGATTTTAGCTTTAAATACACCATTAAGAAGTGCTTCTAAAACTATATTACGTGAATAGTTTAAAATATAAAATGTTACATTTTTAAGTTAAAATCGTTCAAATTATATCAAACTGTTCAATTACACACACAATTTGCTAAAATAAATAAATAATTTTAATAGTATCAATGACATATTGCAAGTTAGGTTAAGTTAAATTATACTTTTATTAAAAACGATGCAATAGATAGGTATGTATACTAAACATATTATATTTTTTAACAAAACAACAAAAATGGCAATGTACCATATTCAAATGGATTTTAATATTGACATCCCTATGATTAATTTTGTTAATTTCATGCACTAAATAGCCTTGATCTGATCATAACAATGATCGTATATTTATTTTCTTATAATTAATTGGGTACATTAAGACAGTGTAATTTATTATGACACCTAATTGTGTTTATAATATGTTTTTATCATTTATCATACAATAAACACACATTTATATAAATATATAAGTACTTTGGGATTTTCTATTTTTTGTAAATTAATGAACTTTATAAATATCGACTTAATAATCGAATTATCGACGTACACTTTTTTACTAACAAAAAGGGCTGGTGCAATATGGATCATAATTACACGTTGAACAAAGTGCGCTGATAGTCTAGACAATCGATTAGGTAAATGGTTTTTTGACTTCAAACTTTTGGACAGACCCAAAAACCACAAAAAAGAAGTGTAAAATATGCGTACTTACACCGTTGATGACTGATAGCTAGACACTCAAACTTTTAAACATTCCCGCCAAAGCACCAAGCCTTATCTCCAATCCATATCACTAATTCTTATCACAAATCCTAAACTTTCATCTTACGACTGTCGCTACTTTTATAATTTAAACGACTCTTACTCCAAAATTGGTACCCCCAAATTCAGCAAGTCTCATGGGCCAACTAGAATCTATATTTTTAATTATTCACTTATCTACTCAACTAACGGGGTCCGCAATCCACAGCAGGTGGATTGCATACCTGATAATATACGCTTCGCATATTGCTTACCGATGTGATTTTATGACTGATAGCTAGACAATCAAATACACATATCGACTCTACACTTTTTAACAATTTCAACAACGAAAAGCAGCTGACAAACGCCTAGAGATCCTGGAGATCGTATCCATTTACAATGTTCGTGACGGATTGCTAGACGCTCAAACTTTTAAACATTCCCGCCAAAGCGCCAAGCCTTATCTCCAATCCATATCACTAATTCTTATCACAAATCCTAAACTTTCATCTTACGACTGTCACTACTTTTATAATTCCAACGACGTTGTCTCCAAAATCGGTACACACTCTCAGCGAGTTCCACGGGCCCCGAGTTTCACTTAGAGCTAGTCTCTTATATTATAAAACACAAATAGTCTCCGTTTTTCGCCACCAGGCGCGACGCGACAAATAAGGAATTCCGCGTTTCTTCCATGACGACCAATAATATTACTTCACGTCGCCGCTCGCTTATCTCCCTTTTCGTTATCGACGATTGACGTGAATATTTTCGAATATTATTTTCCCGAGTTATTCCGTATTTCTATATATTATATTATAATATAATAAAAAAGTGTGTGTGCGATTTTTACAAAAATTGTGATATTTCCGTGTGTAAAATATATATAATATGTAAAACGCAATATTCAGAAACGGTTCAAGTGTTATGTAAATGTCATTATTATGAATTTTATTATCGTACCGTTGTGGAAGCCGCCATTCAGCCATTCAGCATTTCAATAATATTAAAAATATAAGTAGTTTGAATGCACGGATTAGATAGACATTTTTCACGAGTATTGCAGTAAATTTAACTATTATAGCTAAGAGTTTTAGTAGGAGCTTGGTGTGTCGATTGTTTATGACAATGTCGTTACATACGTAATAAGGTAAGTAATAATAAGTAAATTCAATACATTTCAATTTTTTAAAACATACATGTTATGTAATATTATTATATTATATACGAGGGGTAATTACAGAAAGTTTGTACACCAGATTACTGATTTAAATGATTATACCTATGATTTCCCATGACTTACTACAAAGATTACCTATGATTACCCATGATTACCCCCAAGGTGTTTACCCCTCGATTATAATATACTAATATTGTATTACCAAGTTTAATTACTTCAATTCATACCTTACACCTGTACCAACCTTTACATTGGGTTACACGTATTAATTTTTTGCAATATTTCAAACAAATTTCAAAACATATTATATGTTATAAAATTATAATAAATTGAATTTAAATTCCTCCAAA